CAGGTGCTGAGCCTTCCAATGGTTGATGTTGGTGTTGTTCACCCCCGAGCTTATTGCTACATCTCTTGAACACAGGCGCTAAAACTCCTTCATCAAAGTTGTGTAAAAGAGAAGTTGGTTTGTTGTAGTAATAGCCATTAGGGTCTTTCGTTCCAAATGAACACATGTCAAGAGTGCCATAGGTAACACCACGTTGTGACAAAAGACGTTGAAAACATCTGGTGTACCAAAGAGCTGATGAGGCTGGATTCTCAATGATAAAATGGCCTCCGTGTTCAATCTGAAATATGGCAACACGACAACAGAACTCCAACATTGGAAGAAACTTCTGTCTACGCTGATCTCGTGCGTCGCGATCATGGATATTGGTCATCTGACTCCAAGGAGCACAGTGCGGCGCCATAAAGATGACTTTAGGCATCTGTTTCTCGATGATGTCCATCGTCCTCTTACGACCGTCGCTGGTCAAGATGTCAAATCCTGTTCTAAGGTCGATGGGTTGTCCAACACGCAAACCATTCATGGCAGCAACTTGACTCAACCGTGCTGAACCTGCGAACAGTTCTAAGAAATCAATCTTGCCAGTCATGACTGGTTGCCATGCGTAAGAGGAATATGTGAAGCCTTCCACACCGATGAGGGCTCCGTCGCTCTGGACTGGAGAGCTTGCGTGGTCAGTGACCGGAATATCGGTCCGTGCACTCTCAGAACTCAGTAGTGCAACCGGGTCGAGTGGCACCTCAACATCTTCGATCGGATTGATGTCCTTGCGGACCTTGCTAATGTTGACCTTTAGGATCCTGGTGCCTAAATCGATACCAACCATACTGCCGTCGGAACTAATGACCTTGCCTTTGATCCATTTACCACTGTGGGTTCCATCAGATTTTACCTTGGATTTATCTTCTGTCCAATAGTAGATCTTATCACCAGGATAAAATGGACCATCACTCAATTGAAGTCTTGCGGAAATGTCTCGTCTCAAATCATCTGATTGTTTTGCTTCTAAGTAAGACTTCATGGCAAGTGTTCTGAGGGCATCTATGTTTTTCTCAGGAGAAGGAAGTGAAGCTGTAAGCTGTTCCGGTGTCATGTTTTCTGGGTACAAAAGATCTGCAGGTCGTCTTCCAAATGCCATCTCCAATGGAGATACTCCACCAAAAGTAACCATGGAGTTCCTGGCAAGTGATGCTTGTCTGAGGAGTTGACGGTACGTGATCTCGTATCTGGATGGATCCTCAGTCACGGCCTTAAGCATCAGGGTGATCTGCTTTTTGTACATGCGAACAGCTGCTTCAGCTCTATTTGGCCACGGAGTACCGGGTCCTAAAGTAATCGGTCGGATATTCTTCCTATTGTAAAAGGATTCAAGTTCAGTACCCATGAAACCTTGATCGCCGACAAGATACTTAGGATTCAACTTGTTTTTGCAAAGTACTCCAAAAGATGGCCAATCGTTTCTGCTTCAGTCTTGCCGTTACAAACGTAAGCAGTGGTCATAGAAGTAGCGCCGTCATAGATAATCAGGAAAAGAAGTTTGGACTTGTCGTTGATAGCCAGTTCACCATGATCAACAAAGGTGAGTTCTCCAAACGTTTCACTTCTCGTACCTGAAATTCTTGATCTTGAAGGTGCAATTTTCGACTTCTGACATGTGTCACACTGCTTAACTACCTTCTCGTACTCTTCATAGATCTTAGCAGGAATCTTCAAAGCTGAAGTACGTTTCTTGAACTGCTCAGTTGACATGTGATAGTGCTTCAAATGCAGTTTCAAGAGTTCAGTTGGATGAGACAGCTTTTCATGGATTCTCTGCAATGCTAACGGCAATGTTACAGAAACCTTAGGCGCCTTCTTCTCTCGATGAACTGTTGTTGGTATTGGTTTCACGTCTTCCTTTGATTCTTCCTGAGGATCTGGCTTCACCGGCATGTCTGGCGCTGCTGGAGGTACGTCAGGCTTTTCAGCTCCTGAGCTCGAACTTGGAATCTTCGAATGCTCAAATGGCGTACCAAAATCAGGTGACTTCTCTGTCTTCCGGTATGTCGGAGGTGTCACCTTCTTGGCCGGTGGAGGCATCGAAATAAGCTTCGATGGCGGATCGACTTTGGCATCTCCACTTGCGATGTGCTTCTCTGGTTTCTTAGCCGGAATATCGGCTGCTGACTTGTCTTCCTTCACTTCGGACGTCTCTGCCTTCTTGCATCCATCTTTATATGTGTGCTTACGATGCTTTCCATTGCAGGCAGGACAAGTTGCATACGAAGGATTGATTGCAGTGAAACTGTGGTTCGGCTTACGAACTGAGCTGGCAAACATCATGATGTCTAAGACATTATGGTTCGAAGTGCTCACTGGCAGCGAAAATCGCTTCAGACCGAACAAAGGACAAGTCAAATAGTCGCCGACTGGAGTATGCTCAATAGACATGCGAAGGTTCCTGAGCTGCTCAACGCTAAAAAGGATCGGAACATCGCCCTGGTCTAAGATATCTATCGCTGTTGTGATCCACCCTGTGGGTGACTGGTCGTTCTGAAAGTAGATTATCAGCTTCTCTCGGACATTGGACTGTTCACCATTCGCAAATGAAAATCGACTTGACGAAGGCTCAAAAGAGAAATCAATCTTAGATGCATTGTAGTGTCTCTCGCGTGCCTTCACTAGACGCATAATGGCAGTCCTTGAACCCATTGCTCTGGTACAGCCGCTGTCAATGATCACGTAGGTCGGACAGTACCTCAAGTCGATATATTCAGAAAGCAAAGCATGGTGAAATCCATCGTCAAAGTTGACAAAAGAAGAACAGAAGCGTGGATCAATCACTTCAGAACAACCGGAATGTCGGTAGTCTGTACTGCTACCGGCAGGGTTTAGGTGATACTGATGTGAAACATGTTCTTCACCAGTCATTTCTTCTGCGTGGTTTCCGTAATACCGGAAGTCTGCTGACTGGTTCATCTGGCCAGGCCTTGGCTCTGAGCCGTGGTGCTCTTCATCTTGCGGTCTGTCCGTCTGTCCGTCCGCAAAATATGTCCATTGTTGCCAAGTGGCTTCATTTGCCTGCCAGACATCTTCAGGATAGTGCTGGTCTGTGTGATATCCATACGAGTCCCATGACCAATTTGCTTCATGTGCACTCCAGGTTTCTTCGGCATTAGGAGTTGGCTGAGCCGATGAAGGCTCTTCGGTGGTTGCTACATTGGATTGTTGAAAGGGATTCTGTTGCTTGCTTTTTCCTTTGCCTTTGAATGCATCTTTTCCCTTGAAACCTTTCTTTCCACCTTTCTTTCCTTTCTTGCCTTTTCCATAGAAACCTGAGTTGTCAGGGTACTCTGCATAATGTGCCCCTGCACCTTTGCCTCTGCGGCTGACAAAGCCGGGTCTTCTACCTTTTCCGCGGCCTTTTCCCTTGCCGCCTTTGGATGGTTTTCTGAATCTTCTTCCATGGATTCTTCTACGGGTGTATCCTCCTTTAGCTGCTAACACCCAAAATTCGGATTCTGAGAACAAACTCACAAATCCTTCTTCGCCTGTTTCCTGATCCATCACCCAGTATCCGGATTCTTCCTCCAAGTCTCCTTCATCGAGAACAAGGAAAGTGGATCTTCTCTGCCTGCGGATCGAAGGATCGGCAGTTCCTGTGGCGGTTTCGCAAAAGAGATCAAGGAATAAGCCTTTGACACCTAGGTATGTGTAGTTGTTCATGCTGATCTGACGCAAGGCCATGCTGGCTACAAACCTTTCTCTTTTCTGTTCGTTGAGATCCGACTGAATTAAGAAAATAAGTGACATCAAATTGTCAGACAGTGGAAAGGTGTCACGATGTGCTTGTTTCAAAGCATCAATGTGTTCAGAACGGATTCTTTCTGCAGCTTCTCTTCTTTCTGCGGGATCTTGAAGTCCTTGAAGTAGCATGTACTGCTGTTGCGAGAGGATGTCAGTAAAGTTGAAATCATCAGGCTGTGGAACAGTCGAGAGATCTAACAAGCCCATGAAGGCTTCCATGACTTTCTTACTAGCAACTTCAAAACGAGATCCAGCTGACAAATTCCCCGTTTCCGCGCCAGGTCCTGAAGAGCTGCATGAAACGCCAAAGAAAAACATGATTTGCTCCCTTGACAAAGTATGGGCGCAACGTCTCCTTGAAATACGTAATACCGTTTCTTTCATGACGAAGCTGTTCATTGTCGAGCATCTTTTTGTAGTATTCGGCGTTTCCGGTTAGAGCGTTCTTCAATGATGGGCCTAATTTTTCGGCGCTTAATGTGGTGATGTTCACCCAGTCATCAATCAAATCTTCAAACTCGAACCAGGATGACTGTCCATCGAACGACGGAGGAATTTTTGGCGTCATCTTGACACCTGCTGTTGGCTGTGCCTCGTACGTCCGGTATGTCGAACTCGAGGACCTTGCTTGCTGATGGCGATGACGCGTGCCTTGAACGGCGAAAGCTTCTTCTGGACCAGTTGCTTCCGACAGGCTGTCGTCATGCTCTTCGTCCGTATCTATGTTAAAGATCTGGACCATGGTCTATTTGTTTTCAGACAAGTGACCTACTTGGTTGTCCCCTGTCCGGAATATCGGACGATTCGGCACGAAGGCAAAATCGACCGCTGCGAAGCAGGAGACACAAGCTCCGCTACCACTTTGAGGGGTAAGTTCCCCCAGAAGTGACAGTTGCTTATAACTGGACCTGATCGAAACACCAAGTGAAGTCACACGAATGCGATCGGTGTGCGAGCGGCAGCGATGCACACCTTTTCTATGGCTGCGGATGCAGGTATTGGGCTACTAAGTCTTGAGCCAAATGAATTAGGTCGAAAGCGGACTGAAGAGCTACGAACTAGTCTATACAAGAGAACAGGTGCTACACACGTATAGCGTAGACACGCCTAGGGGACCTAGGACACAAGGGGGTGGTGATGTCGGGTCAATTGAGCCCACAGTGTCAACACCATGCAACATGTCTGTCCGTAAGCGAAATAACTAAGTCTGCCGCCCGAGTATGAATAGCCACCGAAGAGCCACATCTTTCCGTTGGAGTCCATCACAGCTGTATGTTTGTATCTGTCGACAGGTTCGACACCATCCAGAGGTGAATCTGCCCATGTCACACTTTCAGCCTCGCCACGCCGGTTGGAATTCCAATTCCAATTCCGCAGGCAATCAGCAGAATGGAGCAAATTGAGAATGACCTTTTTTTCCCGAGCGCGCCTGAACGAAAGTCTTCTAAGGAAACGCGTGCAAAAACATGAGCGTTACACATCAGGCTTACATCCGCACATATATCCAGGTATGCACGTCTTCACACCTGCGCGACAAATTGCTACGAACTGCAGCCCTTTCGCGCGAAAAACATGTCAAGTGTCAAAAACTACGGGAAGTATTCAGCATTCACGCAATCCTTTCGCACAACACACGTGTCAAGCGTCAAAAACGGCAGAAAATGGCGATTTCAAACGGCCCAAGGCAACCCAATCGCACGAAATGCGCGTCAACAAAAACTGCATAAATTTGTGATTTCAAACCGTTGGTGGCAACCAAATCGTGCGAAATGCGTGTCAAGCGCAAAAAACTGCGGAAAATTACGATTTCGTCTTGTCGATGGTGCGAAGCGCGTGTGCATGTGTTAAAAACTGCGAGAAATTGCGATTTTGTCGGCGGCAACCCCTTCGCGCGAAACGCATGTCAAGTGTTAGAAAATTGGAAGAATATTGCGATTTCATACGGGAGGCTGCCAAGAGTGTGTAACTGCCGTGACAATGAAAGCACCAAAGTGTGCAGCAGGTATCGATATCAAAGGCGGACGTTGCCAAAGTGTATATATAACTGTCGTCGAAAACGATGGTGGAACTTGACAGAAAACGAAATTGCGGACGTTGCCAAAGTGTGGAGAGCGGGATGATTGGCAGCGCCCGCGGGGCTTGGTGTTTCATTGTTGTATCTCAACATGCTGGCGTAAATGCGCGTGTTCGGCGCCCACGCGGCTTGGTGTTACATCGTTGTATCTGGTCTGTGGCACGCCGCGTCTCGAAATCACGTCTATGTCGCTGCGCCATGCGGTTTTTGCGTGGCATTGGTGGAAAGCGCGTTTGCATGAGTCCGTGCCATTGGCGGAAGGGAAACGTGCTGGGGTGAACGCGGCGGGATGATTGGCGGGCGGTGCATGGCCAGGGACTGTCCTGATAAGAACGGGCAGTAAAGGAAAAGGGAAGCCTAAAGGTTTTGGTGGACAGGGTCGCTCGTACCTGGAAGATGACTGGGGCTATGCCAACGCTATGCCCATGAAGGGACCAAAAGGCAAAGGAAAAGGCAAACAGGCCTACTGAATGACCTCAGCCGGGCTGCGAAATTCGTTTCCTGCTGCGCAACAGAACAGGGGCTTGCTTGCTCACTGGCCTGACCGGACCAACTTGCGGAGGCACGCGCACCACTGCGGCTCACCGCATGCTCTTTCATTCCTTGCGCGTGACAATCCACTGTCAGCATTGCGCCGAAACAGGCCCAAGCAAGACGTAAACCTCGTCCATAAACATCAACTCTAAGACTTCTTCGGGGCAGGACCAGAATCCACATGTTTATGCGCCTAAGCTGCAAAGATATCAACTCTACCACCTCATGGGGGCAGGACCTGAATCCACACATTGTACCGTAAATCTGCATGCGAGCCTGCATAGATATCGACTGTCCAACCTCTTCAGAGACAATCGTTTGCCCACAAGGGCTGCCGGACATTGCCTGCAGATTTCTCCTTCGCACCCGTTTCCACTGCTTGGACTAGAATGCGTCAACCAGGAGTCTTTGAGACGCACCTCCGCAGGAGTCAAAGCCAGTCAACCGTCTTGACCAGGGTTCTGACTGGCCCACTAACACATGTTGCGTACACAAAAGAATGACACACATGCTACGGCGTTCTTCCTCTCAGCTTTCTTCCTCCTTGCTCACCCTCTCTTTCACTTTCCCTCCCGCCATCCCACTACTCTCTTCACTTTGCTGTTTCATCGTGCAAGCATACATCACACCAGCGCTACTCTACACCTAAACGCTACCCGCCCATCCGTCGTCTAGTTCATGAAAGCAACATCTGTATATATAAATCTGTTGAATGAGAACCAAACTAGGCGACTGCGCAAGGATTTAAATCCTCTTTGGTAGCACCAAGCATCTCACAACATCTAGAACCTATACTTTGTTACCTTCCAGAACCCGACGATTGCAAGGACGGTTTTGTCTGCAAGAACTTGGACACTTTGGCGACAAAAGCGTGACCGAAGAAAGCAGCTTGTACAGGATGTAACCTCTTGTCACGATTCTTCTAGGAGCCATTGTTTCAGGCCTCCCTCCCATTACTGTCAATGCAATTTCAAGAGTAGGCTTTACAGTGTTGCAAGAGCGGGGTGAACCAAAAACTGATGCTCAAGAATCGAGAGGGGAAACCAGAGACTTTTTCGAACCAAGTCCGCCCGCACCGAAGGTGCTGAGGCGTTTTATAGGGCTGTGCTTGCAATCCGTTAGTATCGTCAGTATACAATAGCTTTAGCTAGGGGGGGGCATTTTTGCTCTAGAATCCTGTGTTTTTTCACGTTTTTGGAACCGGCTTAAAGTGCTTTCGTGCTAATGTTGGGTATCTTGAAGGCTTTAGGGATGCAAGAAATGCGAGTTTCTGCTTTGCATCATCTGCATCATCTGGACATTGGGCTGAACAGGTTCCCCTAACGGGGCTCAACATAGCTTCCATATTGCGTAACCACTATCTAACGGACGTGTCTGCGAGATAGGGACTTGAACGTCCGGG